CATATAGAGCGTGTACGATAATAATTGACCACATATGATTCAATTAAACAGGTGGTCTATCATTTCAGATAGGTACAGGTTCTGCAAGATTTTGATGTGATGATGATGAACTAATTTTAATGTGAATAATGGCATTATGATAGAAGGTATATTATATGATCAAATTTTATATCGAGATAGTTAAATGTATGTGATTTAATTTACAATACCATACAGTCACATTTAAGTTGATTATTTTTGTAAATATCGGTGTAACATTTACAGAAAAAAGCATTCTCTAATATTAAACACCTTCTTATAATCAAAAGCACACTACGATAGCTTGTCTAATGAATACTCAAAGAAATATAGAGGTGTTGTATAATAGTATAATCTGTGGCAATACAATAATGACTGAGGCCGGGTCGTGTCGGATTGGACTGGGAATCTATCTAATTGGGCAGCATTCCATTCCTCTCCCGTCCCTACGTAACGATCATCCGATGACTATGCCATTTCTGGGATTCAAACGGCTTTGTATGGGAGTTTCGACGAATTTTGCACGCTCCATGCTCTTATTGATGGACAGCCAGGAATGGAATGAGTCAGTGAGTCAGAATTCCGTTATTTTTACCAATTTGTCTAGAAAATTGACCTGAAGTTATTTTAATTTTATTATGCCCTGTAAATGTTAAGTACGCCTCATTAAGTAGGTACTCATTCTTATAACACCGCCATAAAACGTTAATCGAGTTTTGCAGTTAACAGCAAATAAATTCGAACAAGCCTCATCAATTAAAAGATAAAAGAACAAAACGTGGAACAATTAAAAAGAAGACATCGATATGGCATCGAGTAGGTATAGAATCGAGAATCGAACGCATCAAGATCGCATCGGGTCGACGCACCGAGCGCTGCAATAAAACGAAACGAATGCGCCCGCGCATCGTGCGGTAATCGCGCGCCTTTGATGTTGCCGACAGCCCGCCCCTCCCCCACCCGCGACGCACTTAACTACGACTTTATTACTCGTAATTTGTGATTGTGAACGGTATAATTAAAGTACAATTAAACGTCTACTCCGCCAGTAATATGGGAAACGGCTGCCCTTTGATTGGTAGACGGTATGCGTGACGGATTCGCGGCGGCTTTTGATTGGTTACATTAAATATTTTTCATGTTTATAACCAAGATTATTTATTAAGACCATTTAAAATGATTAAATTGATGATACCGGCGTATTCATTAACCTCAAACGTGTATGTAAGTACTTACTTATGTAGCAAAACCAAAAGATGTTTTCTTTTTTATACGACGACGGTGGCAAAACATGTAAAAAAAATGCAGATGTAAAAGTATTCGTCTATGAGACTACCGTCAACATATTCTCATAACGTCATTCAACATTTAAAGTGTCCAGAAGTTATTTCAAAAACGTAACTACAACAGTGAAGTGTTTCAAACAGGTCGCTTTATTTATATTTAATGCGAGTGCCCTTTCGAAGAATATGTTCAACACCAGAACCCATCCATCATAAGTTTTTGCATGACACATAGGGCCGTAATTATAGTTGTGTTTCACTATGTGATAGTTTGAGTCCAAGGCTGAGAATGGCCACGACTGCCGAAGACAAGGCCCGCGGCGCTTGCGCAGTTAAAACGGCAAAAACGAACCGGAGAACTCACAAATTGCCGCCCCTAATTACCTCAGGTAGGCGGCCGCACAAAGTGCTGCGTTTTTTTACTACAAAAAGTGCTAAGTTATTCAAAAACAGGTCCAGCGCAGCAATAAATATGATTCCGAGCTCCATCACATGTATAAATTAAGATTTAACCTCGCATTTCCGAAATAATATAACGAAAGAAAAAATCGATCAAGTTTTTGCAGAATTAATTAACTATAACTCACGCGCACCTTTGTCGAATGACTTTTATGTGGCAGCAAACTACGTGATGGCAAGCAAATATACAAATTGCGATATAAAAAAGATTTCAGACAAGAATATGATTGAGCAACAGATGCGATATTCATCAAAATTGTTTTGAAGGGAGCGACGGACGAAAATAACGAACTCAATAATAAAGAAAGAGGATTAAACAGCATCAAAAACTTTCTTTCATCCGTGAGACACCGGGCCTTTTATGATCCTACAATAAACTCGCATACCTGCGCTAATGATAGGGTGCCGGTTCAAAGAATAACGCTCGCGCTGGGGACTTCTCAATAACACCTCCCAAACTGTACCCGGAGCCGGTAACAACGAGACCAATTTTAACACAACCCACAAAGGCGCCGCCGATGTAGGGAAATAGGTTATCGAGATAACGCAACTCTATTGTCGCTTTTTTAAATACTTTATTGTTTTAGTATTATACGATATTTTGCATTACAACAGCTTTGTTCCGAGAAAGAAAGGTTTATGAATATTTAAATAGTAACTCTTTGTTTATTAGTTTTGTCTCGGTTGAATAGCACCGTACCTGTTTGAAGGCGACTATAATTAACAATGTTTGTTAAACAATTCTACACCTAGGTTTCTGGCGAGCTAGTGGTTCATTTGGGAAATTAATCGCAACGGTACATCATAAAGTGTACATGTTATGTTCGTATCCGAGCGGTTTGTTATTCCAACGCAGTGTTAATAGCCAGAGGTAAAGGTGTGGGTGCCTTAAAATTGGCTCATTACCACCTTCCAGAGCTAAAAGCCGGTCTTTGTTGGCCTTGGACGGCTGTTTGTACGGGATTTAGAATTTCAACAAAAATGTAGAGGAAATTGTATTTGTTGAAGTGGAACCGAAAATTGTTTGCGGATCCAATTCACTTGAGGATGTTCCATCGGTACATTGAAATGATTTAGATTTAAAAGACGGTGCGGACTACGGACTAGTGTTACCGAGATAGTACACACGTAACAAATCATCGGCCCAGAAATGTGACTTTAATTGCCCAATCTTAAGGTGAACGGCCGGCGCCGGCGCGGCCACCTTCGATGGAGTTCCTCGTGAATGGGCCGGCCCACTTCAACTGGTTCAAGATTACAGTCGAGATATAGATGAAGTTATGTTAGACTCACTGGATTCTGGAAACACGTTACACTTTTTTATGTTGAAATAGGACGTCATTTTAAACGAACCGACGACAACACTGAGATCACTTCGTCAGAGATAGAAGAGCACGTGGGATGGAGATTCCGTGCGCGATTGAGAATGTCGCGAGCACTCGCGGGACGTGCAGAAACCTTTAGAGAAAATTTAGTACAGAACTGTAATAAAACGTGACCGACTGAACAAGGAAACAGCCAACATATCAATTACAGCACAAGACTATTCACAACACAAATTCCAACGACTCAGAGAATTCAGTAATAAAGATAATAGTTTCTAGTACAACCCGTTCCAAATATAGCTCAAACGATTAAATTTTTGATCTTAATCAACATAATTATTCACATGAGCAATCGACATCAGATCCGATATGATCACTGCCAATCAGAAATCTAATAGAGCACTTAATTACAGCAGATACAATTAAGAGGCGGCCACTTGAAAGTAAGGCAGCACACCAATAAACATTTACAACTTTAGTGGAAATGAGTTGGAATTATTATGCGTGATGACAGAACATGAGCAATCGTCTTGCACTATCAGTGAGCAAATTTCATATATAACTAAAGATATCTGATAAATCGAGTTTTAAAGCGATGCCGCCGATAAGGTGGCATTAACCGATACACATCGGCACTTAAGGCAAAGATAGCACCGATTCGATAAGGGATATAAATAAAAATAAATGGTTGCTCTTGCGTTATGCCGCTCTAAAGATATCACTATCAGCGATAGTACACGTATGAAAGTGCCGGTAGGTAGTGTGTTTATTGATTTAATGCGGCCACACTAACGATATAATCCTGGTAATTTGCAATATCGTGTGTTTACAGCATTGAAAGCTGGATTACTGTAGAGAGCGCACTGCGCGATGGATCAGACTCGGCCTTTTTGCTCGCTGCAACCTCAATACAACTAGAGTCATACACTTTTTGCAGAGTCGACTTGTACTAGAAACAGGTGTGTGGTTGTGGGGCGGACGGAGCCGGTCGGCGCAGCTAGCGCGCCACCGATACAAGATCCAGCCTTTGATGTGCCGCGTGATAAGAGCCCGCTATTTGCTGCCCCTTATCGCTCACGTCTGTCGTTCGACGCCCACACTTTACGATTTATCGCGTAAACAATGGCGAAGACTTTATATGGGACAAGAATTAGATTATCAACGGACATTTATAATTTTACAACGAGAGACTTTTTGGCTGATGTCATAATACCAAAAGAGTAAATAATTGAGGTGGCCGCCACTGATGATGATGATAAAACATCTGGTTTTATAATGGCGGATGATTCCTGAGAAGAATTTTAAATGAGATCCAAAATAGTCGAAAAAAATCTAATGTTAATGTTGATGTCGTGTGAAACAAGGCTGGAAATGGTAGTGTGGACATCCCCCATACAGTAGACAATGTAATGGCGAAAGTCAACAATGCGACCCTTCGAAACATCGCACATTACATGTCCAATATCAGTTTTACAAACCATAAAACCTATTCTGCTATCCATCGTAAATCAAGTGATAACAATGGGGTGGAAGAAACATATGATACAGAGCGCCGTCAAACATGATACACGGGACACGGGACAACCCTCTCCTTTGTACTCTTTTATTATTTTAGCGAACTTTTTCTTCACTTTCGCAATTACGTTTTTGTCCAAATGGCAATTATAAAATTAATATTTCAAAGAGTTGGCAGGAAATCGCGTTACGATTATTACCTCTTTAACTTTATGTTCGTTACTAAAGTTTAATACCGCCGCTGCTAATTCACATTTATTATACTTTATTTAAGAAAAATGATGTTCGTGTTCTACATTAACGGAAACTTCATTGGTGTTAATATGATCATTTCCTTTAGTCAGTTCCCTATCAACGCCGGATAAAGTTTTTAGAACTTTTTATGAAAATTTTCTCTTACCGCATTCTCAGCTTCCTTCTGGTCCTTGTGTCCCATCAGGTTGGGCATGGCAGTCCAATTGTATCCCAAATCCTGGCATAGTGGCAGCTTGATCCTCTCACACTTGCCACCTTCGACCTCTTCCTGGTCAGCAGACACCAGCCACACAAACAGGAGAAAACAAAAAATCCGAGCCATAGTATATTATTCACAAACAATAAACAACACTAGTGTATCATGTCATATTCAGACAACTCAGTCACAAAATCACTGTTGGTAAACACTGATCAATCGTAAACATATTTTATTTAGTACAAAACGAGCGCGCGTCCTTCCCCGTCTGTAGCTTGGCGCAGACTGATTCAAAATTCGAACGCGGCGCGGCGTTTCAATTCAAAGGCAAAGGAACGAAACCGGTCGGCCGGTGCGTTCAGAAACATGCATATGTTCCGATAAAAGGTCTGAACGCATGAACAGGGCATTAAGATGAAAAGAAAAAAACGAAAAGGGCCTAATTCGTGTACGGCTCACTGCAATCAGTGGGAGTAATTTTAGCCGTCTCTGTCTTCGGTTGGGGAGTGAGAGGGATAGAAGGAACAATGAAGAACGTATAAAATTAAGTGTATCTGCCCATGAGGTTGGATTTTATTTTACGAAATTGCTGCAATAAAAGTGTTGGTAATTGAGAGGTTCTAAAATTTTATTACAACGCTTCGACGTTCTACGTTGTAGGTACGTGTTTGTGATATTAGTTACATGCTACATGCAGTGTAGTGTTGTTTGTGGGCTTGTTGCTTACAGACGGAGAATTAGACTAAGTATTAGCTTTAGTTCATGGCCGAATGTCAGCATTGGAATGTCTTTAGGCAACAGACACGAACAGGCTGCTAGTTTGTGTCCTAGATAGAGATCTGTTCACTTTAGATTTGGCAATAGGAGATATAATATATTGTCTTTACTTTCCAATAGTTAATGAATAAATGTATTCATTTGTCTAAATTACAACAGGGCACTATTTTCAGAGTTTCAGTTATTTTGTAGATAACACATAGATTTAAAAGATTCAGTTCATTTTCGGTTCGTTAAATAGAGTTTTTATTTTCCAGTATTTTACTGGTACAGTTCATTAAGATATCTTTGACGGCCAAATTTCATAAACCCCAGTAGCACTGTTTATCGGGCAGGAATCAAATCAGGCGAAGGCACTACGTAGGTATTTCACGATACAAGTCTGATATTTGTTATGTGTTTTTACTGAATCAACAATTTAAATAAAATATGGCTGCCTACAGCACATGAGACGTTTATTAAAGTAATTTATTCAGTGAGTACAACTCATTAGTAGCCACCTACGGCGTGTGGTCATATAACATGATCTATTGAAATTATTTGCTAATTTCAACCTAATGAGTAATGGTATTTTCCTTGACTAATGAAAGTAGTTGGTGAGCCTAATTTTTTATGCGATAGGTGTCACCTAAAACTACAATAGAGTTACAAGTCCGTTGCCGGTTTCTTTTACTTCATTATTACTACATAGTATAAAACAAAGTCGCTTTCTCTGTCCCTATGTCCCTTTGTATGCTTAAATCTTTGAAACTACGCAACGGATTTTGATGCGATTTTTTTTAATAGATAGAGTGATTCTTAAGGTAGGTTTATATGTATAATACATGCATATTGCACCCGTTCGAAGCCGGGGCGGGTCGCTTGTAGTTTTTATAAAATAAAAAGGGATTCAATGCACAGTTAGGTTACTACCGTGTCGTACCATGGTACTCTTACATAGTACACTTCTATAACTATTATGGGATATACACCATATTAGTTATGTGTTATCTCTATGCCTTTTGTTGTAATCTGTTTAGCCATTTTGAAAACTTTGAGTGAGTTACAAACGTGCACTATTATTTGCATTTATGATATTGATAAACAGAAATTGTTATAAATTTGATATCATTAAAAAAATACGTCCTCAACACTATGAGGTGTAATTAAATTTTTTTTTTTTGTAATTTAAAGTCCATTAGTGTTCATTAAAAAATCGTTAGTTTTGGATAATTGTTTTTATTTATATTTTATGTCTGGTAACGTTAATTAAAAAACATTTCAATCCAAGTTTCATGTCAAGAAACTGAAATGATGTGTGAAAGAGACAGCGCTATACTTTCCGCTCGTGCCTTTATCTTTCAGTACAGCGGCGTCCCAAGCAGCATACACAATTAGGTCCCTTCATTACATCACTCCAGTAACACCTTTGATACTTGCAAAATATACAACAGACTTTTATCTCTATACTAAGGAGATAAGGTTGAAAATCCAATAAAAGTATCAGTATCTTCCTCGCATATCTTAACCAGTATATCTTGATCCCTGGTCATTAGAGAAACTATTTGATATTGAAAGAGTTTAGGGTATCTGCTTATATTGGTTGTCCGGTATGAATAGTTGCATTGTGGGAGCGGGACGGCGCGAGACGGTGTCAAAGGCGCCGCCTGCACGGTGCGCGTACGCCGGCCGGACGCCGCGGGAATGCCTAATTAAGGACGCATGCGTGGACTGTGGGGTGAGGCGTGTGGTCTTATTGGTAGCGGGGAGCGGATTGTTAAAGACATGTATAACTAGTTTGATAACTTGCAATGATATGTCGACGAGACGACTGTATGATGTGTAAATGACAACCCATCTCCTCCTACTCTTAAATAAACATTAACGTCACAACTGTTTAAGAAAATATTACTTAGGGTTTGACTTATGTATATATACCCATAATTGTTACTGGTCCAAAGTTCGTAGAACTTTACCATTCTCCGAAAACTAATTAATTTTCACCAATTCCTAATATTGAACACTAATTGTACCCGATAATAATTCGAAACTATTCAGGCTTTAAACTTGACCCACGACTTCAAATATGTACCGCATACAGTCGGTTTAAAAACCCGCTGACACAGCAACCACACCCAACCCATATACACAACAGAATCGTAATTAAAACGTCAGATATGGCGACAACGCGACAACGCGACACCGTCCGCCAAATGCAAATTCCGCCCAATTGTTCGACAGGAAGACATTACTATCGGAATATTAATACACCTTTGACCGACACCGACGGCCCCTCTATATAAGGAGGTGTGAAGATATGACTCGCATATGTATTGATTAGCTTTACTTTTTAATTTATTTGATGATTGATAAGTCCTGTGGTCTGCGGTGCGGATGTCCATACTCTTTGGTTTGTGACCTTGAATTATATTTATTGTAAACGCATGTTTTTGATTAGCCGAAGAGTTCAGACATATATTGTATTTTGATCTATGAAGGGGTAGACAATGATGCATATAGTAAATGTAACACCTAATTATGAGGCGTGTAATCAATAGCGTAAATCGAACCTATGTTCGGTATTCAGGAGGCGGCATTGCTATCTCTCGGATAATGAAACGTCATATCAGGTCATAGTATCACTTTGACTGGATTTTAGTGTTACATTGTTCTCGCACAATCCAAACAACAAAACTATGTAACTAGAGAATTGTATTGTGAACCTGATTGAAAAAGAGTAACCTATGGAGTTTCTTGCTCGTTCTTCTCCATAGGAATCTACGCCTTGGAATGAGCAAATTGCTTTACTTTTAATTTTTTTTGTTGACGTTCAAAAGTGCCTTTCTTGTCTAATTGAAATAAAAGATTTTGACTTTGACTTTGACTTTACTACCGACGTATGTTAGTCAATTCAATCATAGGATCTTTAAAGGGTACTGGCAGTGGCGCACAATTGTGAAGACTCGACTAAAACCAGATTTAACACTTGTACACTCAATATTTTTAGTTTTATAATAATTGTATTCTACAGATACGAAAAGATACCATTATAAAATATATAAAAGTACCGTTGATTTCAACAATTGGATATACAGCCTAACTTTTATTGCTTCATAGAAAAGATTTCAACGCGTGCGTCGTAGCAATCGTAGACCCTTTTCTGTTAAAATAGTATGAATGGTAAAACCATTCATTGTGCATTGAGGTGCAATAAAAGTAATTGTTATACTTTTGCTTCAAAATTTTATTTTTAAAGTACTTAACAATTTCCTAATCAGTTTCAAAAATGTGTGAGTAATAGGTTGCCCAAATAATGTTATCTTTGCAATAATATTTTAGTACGCACTGTGTGGTAAAATCTGTGAGAACCTTAGACCATAGCAAACTATGGTGTTTATGACAGCTGCAGAGGACTTGTCGGGTTACCGGGGCTCCGGCTCGAAGGGCAGGAGTAGGAACGGGGTGGTTTTTAGTCAGTAAGAGTTTGACACTCCCTCCGAGCTCACCCAGGCGGAAAAAGTCATTCGATGATGGTATTTATAACTCTGAAGTTTGTTAGTTTAGATAGAAATATATTTTGTAATCCTTTTACATAGAAAGTGCAATACTACGCTATGGCGATGCGATTGAAATAAAATGTTATTTATTATAATATAGTATGTTTGACCTGGGGCGTGGAAATTATGACAAACTCTCTTTTTTAATGAATAGGAGACAAACGAGCAGACGGATCACCTGATGGTAAGTGTTCAACGCCGCTCATAGACACCCGCAACACCAGAGGAGTCACTGGTGCAATGCAAAGATAGAATACGCTCTTTTCTTGAAGGTTTGAAGGTCGTATCGTTTTTTTATAGAAAAGGTAAGAGAGATTTATTTATAATCCAGCAGAGGACGCACACAGGTTATCAACAATGAACACAATACATGATTAAAATTATTTTATCATCATCTTCAATAGCCTATAAAAGCCCACTGCTGAGCAAAGCCTCTTCTCACACGGCGAATGTTTGAGCATTAATCACCACGCTTGCTCAATGCAGGTTGACGATTACAAACTTATAATTAGAAATTATAAGCCCAGGTTTCCTCACGATGTTTTTCTTCACCGTTTGTCAGTAGTATCTAAATAATCTTAAAAAGTACATATAACTCGGAAAAAGACACATTGGTACTCGCCGTTGGTAGGTTTCGACCCCGCGCCCTCATGCATGAGAAGTGGGCGTCTTAAACCTCCGGGCCACCACGACAAATTATTTTATAATGTAACTTTAATTGAGGAACTAAATATACTCTTTATTCTTTCCCTCGATCATTTCCCCTTGTAATTTCTACCTCTAAAGCTATATGAACTCTTGCCGGTTTGTCTGTAGGTTTGTTTTTGCCATTACGTAACTACGGTTACCAACAACCACCATTACTGTGCAACTGACTGGAACGGGTTCGATGCAGGGGTCGGTCATATTTGCAGTTAGTACCTCTATGTGTGATTAATAGTATTTACTTATGCCCCAGGGAATATGC